TCATGTGCCGACTGCATTAACGCTGCAGACTCTGTCTTTATTCTGAGTTTTTGTTCAGGTGAAACAAAGACTCATGAACTGTGACCCCGCTGCGATCCTCCTGTGGGGGAGAGTTCAACCGCAGCTCCTCGATCAGTATTTACATGACGAACGTGGCAGAGACCCAAAACACTCAGAGATAACTTCCTCCTGTCTTTGAGGGGAGAAGCACCAAACTTGGAGATACATGGTTTTCACCAGACAGTGATGCATGGCGTGCAGGTGTCACATGTTTTTCACATGGTGGAGGTCAGGTTCTTCATATATAGTCAGAGACAGCAGCCCGAGGCGCAGGATGGCCTTACAAGTCCATGTTCAGGGAGAAATAATCCACCAGATCACGAGTCTGTGTTATCTGAAGAAAAACCTGATCCTCAGAAATCCTTTAAAGCGTCTGAAATCCTCTGAAAACCTTCAACACGCCGCAGATCACCTGCCTCGTCTACAGGTCACCTCCTCTGTGATCCTGAGGACAGAGGAGACAAGGAGAGGAGGAGAGGAGGCCTCTAATGTGTCTCCTCACTCCCCTCATGTCTCTATCATGTCTCAGACGAGTCCTTTGGATCAATGACATTATTAATAACAGTATTTTTCACTAATGGAGATGACGGTTACATTTTTTATTCAGTAATCGTAAAACCTAAAACAATGACACTGCATATTTGAAAATGTGTCTAATCTCCATGTCACTGTTGTATTATGATGATATTGACAGTAATATTGGGCCCTATGTGTTGGACACCGGATCAGAAAGTAATTTAAGATTTAAACACTATATCACAGAAATCCTTTCCCTGAACTGGTGAATTTGTATTCTCTCTTAAAGGATAACGTCAGCATTTTTCAGCCTGGACCCTGTTTCACTGTGTACACTGGTCAAACAGACTGATGTGGAGTTAATCGGCAGATGCTGTGGTTTAAAATGAGCCCACACTTTTCTATGGGCGTCAGTTTTTGAGCCCTGATGAAGGACAAAATGTGTCCTGTGACAGACGGCACGGCTCGTCGTTTTTTTGCCGAGATGATTTCCAGAAAACCTGCAGCCCCTGTACTGATCTGTTAAAGGATAACGTGGACATTTTTCAGCCTGGACCCACCGTGTACATTGATCAAAAAGACTCATGTAAAGAACAGCTTTTAATTGGTCCAGTATTTAGTGAACGGGCCGCTGAAAGATCTGTAATGGGGGCACACGGGGCAACTGAACATCTTCACTGTGTGTCCATTAAAAGTGGTTATTTTCACCACAGAGCTGCTCAGATTGTTTTTATAAGTGTCTCTTTATCTTCCACTTGATCCAGTCTGTTTGTTATTGCCTCATTAGGCTGAAGTCTCATTCTGAATATGACGTCAGGAGACATGTTGCAGCCAGACCACATTGGAAACATGAGTGAGATTTGGAGAGAGCATTATAACCAGAGTATTGTGTGTGGCTCAGGCCTTTGGGTTCTATCGCTGCCGTATTTATTTGCAAAGAAGTATACGGATGAAAAGTGGAGAAGGAGAGAGGAAAAGGCAGCGGAGGTTTTTATTTTACTCTTTTACATATACGTTCCCTCTTCGGCAGTGTATTTACTGTGTGTTTACTTGTTATTACACTCTCCCCTCTGCTGCTGTAACACTAAACTTCCCCACTGTGGGAATAACAGATGATCTTATTAGTAAAGACTATGTATAGGGTCTTGTACAATAACTATCTATATTATGTAGCCTGACGTGCACCTCCCAGAAATGAAACTGCACGCAGACCTCCTGTCTGTCTCTGTGAGCTGAAACCATTTCCCTCAGTGGAAACAAAGCTTTGATTCACTTTAATTTCACAGATAAGAAACAATAAATTGTGAAGACAATAAAGCCTCCACACAATGTGTGTGATTTATCCTGGCTGAAATATGAGCAGAGGAAATCTCTGCTAGCTGCTAGGCTAATTTATACAATGTAAAATGCCATAGACTTGTGCTAATAACGTTAGCATGTTGTATTTGTGGGGAAAATGTGTCCAGATAAAGACAAGTGTTTGTCTGTGAATGCTGCGAGTTATAGTGAAGCTGATTTGTGTTTGACACTGTCTCTATTAAGCCATGTTTA